TTACCAGACACACCGGGATCGGCCTAACCCATCAATTGCTGGTAAACAAGGAGCACCAGAACATACAGGCGCAAAATTGAAAGAGAGGCTATTGAAGAAACCGATAGAGCCCATTAGGACACAAACTTCCGGATAAAATAATGGCCATAGGGATCCACACCCAAGGCGAAAAGGAAGCCGAAGTCGAAGTCAGAATAGTGAATGAAAGCTGCTTCAGGCAAAAAAGCTAACCCATGAACCGTCAAATCCACAACATAACAGAAATGGTAAGCAGATTCATCAAAGAAGGATAAAAGAAGGCAGGTGGTGTTGCATCTCTCAATAAATTGACAAGAAGACTGGGTGGGATGCAACATGCAAGATAGGCGAAATGGACCTTTGGGAGTAAAGAAGCATAACCACTGGAATGAAGGCACTCAACGGACCAACCAGACGCAAAGTATTGAGAACAGATCACATTACTTATTAGTCCATCTCCAGAGGACCAATGTTGTTACAGTTACCAGCTACTTTTCAGAAATTAGTAAACGCAATCAAAAATAGAGGAAATGTCACCGACAGAGCTCTGATGATATTCATGCGCAAAGTGAGTAAATGTCTGCCCGCCAGTTGCTAAGCTCGGTGAAAGGACCAGCAGCCAATGAACTTTTCCGAGCAATAAATATTTAGACATATCGCCAGTGTTCACAGTGGGATATGGATAGGATAGAAGAGGTAATATCTGGAACGTCAGCAGTAGCGTGTTTACACTTATCCGGCCTGCTGTGTGTTGCCGGTAAGGTGAAACAGCTTATGACACCGCGCGACTACCTTTGTCGCATTATAGCATTTTGATTGCAAGGCTCGTGCTGTACGCCGACTGGAACACCGTCAGAGCGAGCACACCTTGACAAGAGGGTCCTAGACGGTTAGGGTCCTTAACCAGAGCCTTTGGCTTAGCTGCCCGCAAGCCAGAGCGTGAGTACGGGTTACTATTGTAGTGATGTAAGTTTCGTAAGTACTAAATTGCAATGCCTATCCCAGTCCCCAAACTGGTGGACCAAGAGTCTGTTTTTTCAAACCTTCCTCCAGTAGCCAAACGGGTATGTAAAACTCTGCGGCTTTCAGTATAACCAAACGGGTCACAAAGGTACACAAATCGCTACACTATACTAATGCCCAAGATCTTTGCACCGTGGCTTTCAACCAAACTAAGGAGCTTGTCGCATCTTTCAGGTAAAAATGGGCCCTCTACATTCATGGGCCCCGTAGAAAGTAAATAGTTTAGAATCAGGCTGTTGAAAGACGAATAGAAAATCGCTTATACTTCAGCAAACGGCACATGCTTTCGGGTGTCGTTAAATACCATCCATTTGGAATGGTTCGAGACGTCCACTATATCACTCAGATCTATACCATATCTTCGCGGTCACCATGTATGTTGGCCGTAAATGTGCTAATGCAGCTCACACAGCAGTTGACGCATTGAAAGAAGATTTTCCTCAAGCTCAAGCTTGGATATCCCACATTGTAACGTGCGGCGAGTGGCAAATTAATAGTCCTCGACTAATTAAAGCGTAGCATGGAAATCACACGATATATGTCCAAAGGACAGTTTAGGCACAATCAGAAGTCAGTTAGACTTTTATCCAATCTGCATGAGTTCTAGTGCAGGAAACCAACACACTACCAATGCAGAAAACGTTTGAGTCAGTTGAATTTTACAGTCACAGTACGAATTCGACTTAGCGTAGAACATACTGGTGTGCCTTTTTACGATATTGTCTAGGATAATAGACAATCGCAGTCTGGATATTATTTCCAAGGGTAGCTATCCGGGCACGGAACGTCCAGCTGGTTTCACATACGACCCAGAGCAAGTAGCAGGTGGCATTGTATGGGCGTTCACTGCCATAGTTTGATGTGACAGTAAAATCCTGAAAAGGATACAAGCCCACCAAGTGTTTGGTATCCAAGTGGCCTCACCGAATGACCTAAGCGAGCACCAAATATCAACGCCCGCAGCCCTTAATAATGTGACTGAAATAAACAACGAGTTAGACGACCAATGAGAATATTTCCAAATACACAGTCACGACAATCGGTCCAGTGGGCTGTGCCCACAGAGGAGAATATCTTGTGGTTCATGATGTATTTAGTGTGTATACATCACATAGCCAGCCATCTACTGCCAGCCAAAGTACGCTTCATGTTTTAGCGTATTTCTCGAAGTGGAAGTGTGACGAAAGAAAATCATCTGGGAGTGGACTCCAACCATCAACTTTGTGCCTACCTTACGGGCGTTTGGAAAACACAAAACATTCTAGTTGTGATTCCGGATAAAATAATGGCCATAGGGATCCACACCCAAGGCGAAAAGGAAGCCGAAGTCGAAGTCAGAATAGTGAATGAAAGCTGCTTCAGGCGAAAAAGATAACCCATGAACCGTCAAATCCACAACATAACAGAAATGGTAAGCAGATTCATCAAAGAAGGATAAAAGAAGGCAGGTGGTGTTGCATCTCTCAATAAATTGACAAGAAGACTGGGTGGGATGCAACATGCAAGATAGGCGAAATGGACCTTTGGGAGTAAAGAAGCATAACCACTGGAATGAAGGCACTCAACGGACCAACCAGACGCAAAGTATTGAGAACAGATCACATTACTTATTAGTCCATCTCCAGAGGACCAATGTTGTTACAGTTACCAGCTACTTTTCAGAAATTAGTAAACGCAATCAAAAATAGAGGAAATGTCACCGACAGAGCTCTGATGATATTCATGCGCAAAGTGAGTAAATGTCTGCCCGCCAGTTGCTAAGCTCGGTGAAAGGACCAGCAGCCAATGAACTTTTCCGAGCAATAAATATTTAGACATATCGCCAGTGTTCACAGTGGGATATGGATAGGATAGAAGAGGTAATATCTGGAACGTCAGCAGTAGCGTGTTTACACTTATCCGGCCTGCTGTGTGTTGCCGGTAAGGTGAAACAGCTTATGACACCGCGCGACTACCTTTGTCGCATTATAGCATTTTGATTGCAAGGCTCGTGCTGTACGCCGACTGGAACACCGTCAGAGCGAGCACACCTTGACAAGAGGGTCCTAGACGGTTAGGGTCCTTAACCAGAGCCTTTGGCTTAGCTGCCCGCAAGCCAGAGCGTGAGTACGGGTTACTATTACAATGGTGTAAGTTTCGTAAGTACTAAATTGCAATGCCTATCCCAGTCCCCAAACTGGTGGACCAAGAGTCTGTTTTTTCAAACCTTCCTCCAGTAGCCAAACGGGTATGTAAAACTCTACGGCTTTCAGTATAACCAAACGGGTCACAAAGGTACACAAACCGCTACACTATACTAATGCCCAAGATCTTTGCACCGTGGCTTTCAACCAAACTAAGGAGCTTGTCGCATCTTTCAGGTAAAAATGGGCCCTCTACATTCATGGGCGTAACCATTCGATGGGCCCCGTAGAAAGTAAATAGTTTAGAATCAGGCTGTTGAAAGACGAATAGAAAGTCGCTTATACTTTAGAAAACGGCACATGCTTTCGGGTGTCGTTAAATGCCATCCATTTGGAATGGTTCGAGACGTCCACTATATCACTCAGATCTATACCATATTTTCGCGGTCACCATGTATGTTGGCCGTAAATGTGCTAATGCAGCTCACACAGCAGTTGACGCATTGAAAGAAGATTTTCCTCAAGCTCAAGCTTGGATATCCCACATTGTAACGTGCGGCGAGTGGCAAATTAATAGTCCTCGACTAATTAAAGCGTAGCATGGAAATCACACGATATATGTCCAAAGGACAGTTTAGGCACAATCAGAAGTCAGTTAGACTTTTATCCAATCTGCATGAGTTCTAGTGCAGGAAACCAACACACTACCAATGCAGAAAACGTTTGAGTCAGTTGAATTTTACAGTCACAGTACGAATTCGACTTAGTGTAGAACATACTGGTGTGCCTTTTTACGATATTGTCTGGAACAATAGACAATCGCAGTCTGGATATTATTTCCGAGGGTAGCTAGCCGGGCACGGAACGTCCAGCTGGTTTCACATACGACCCAGAGCAAGTAGCAGGTGGCATTGTATGGGCGTTCACTGCCATAGTTTGATGTGACAGTAAAATCCTGAAAAGGATACAAGCCCACCAAGTGTTTGGTATCCAAGTGGCCTCACCGAATGACCTAAGCGAGCACCAAATATCAACGCCCGCAGCCCTTAATAATGTGACTGAAATAAACAACGAGTTAGACGACCAATGAGAATATTTCCAAATACACAGTCACGACAATCGGTCCAGTGGGCTGTGCCCACAGAGGAGAATATCTTGTGGTTCATGATGTATTTAGTGTGTATACATCACATAGCCAGCCATCTACTGCCAGCCAAAGTACGCTTCATGTTTTAGCGTATTTCTCGAAGTGGAAGTGTGACGAAAGAAAATCTGGGAGTGGACTCCAGCCATCACCTTTGTGCCTACCTTCCGGGCGTTTGGAAAACACAAAACATTCTAGTTGTGATAAATGTTGGAGCTTTGTGCTAGGATCCCTTCACAAAATACCTTAAAAATCTCCAAGCTGCCTGCTTTCTCATGTTCTGGGAAGTCATGTCTGGCGGACAGATATTTTCATGTTGAAAACGGCTCCTGATGGGTGCGTCAAAGAAAACGGCGTCACAAAAGTATCGTCAAGTAAAAATAAAGTCACGGTACTACTCTGTGATAGCTTTTTAGCCACTGGCCATTCTGAGTAATAAGGGCGTTTTTCTCACCAGTTTTTTCACGGAAACTAACTCCTGATAATTCGTTTCTGCCTTGTCTGACCGACTAGTTGTTCTAACAGTACCCTAAACAGCACATACAAGCTAGTGACAGTGTGGTACAAGCATTCATAAACCAGCTCACCTTGGCTCCATAGTAGGTTAACAGTTCTTTCCCTTTGGCGATGTCCAGTTGGTATGAAATAGAAATAATTGTTAAGTTGAACAAACTTGGCAAGCGCGGTAGTAAATTTTTCCTCTATATTGGATTGTCACAAGGTTTTGTTCTTCGTCGAAACGCGCACAGTTGACAAACTGGAAAAAATTCGGTGACCAAGACTAGTTATTAACTATTTCTTACCTACTTCAGTTCATCATTTTGTTCAACATTCGCCAATTATAGTACTTGATGGAACAGTATCGCAATAATGGAACAGTTTTTTTTATTTCATATAATAATATTAGGAATCTCGGTTTATTCGCGGGCTACACCTATTATGCCCTCGTAGTGTGGGGAAGGTTTGTGGAAAGAAATACCACGATTCCCACAGGTTTCTCGGCCTGTCTACGTGGAAAATGTTGAAAAAAAATGATCGAAAGTATGCGCAAGAAATCGCTGTCGTGAACTTGAAGTGTTGCAAGGAAGAGAACAGTCCTCCAAGTAGCTCCAGACAGTTACTGTCATCATCCAGGAAAACTTCTAGTCCCTGACAAACATATCCAACCTTTTATCAGGTGATCTCTGGGTTTTGCATGTCTCACTCGATTCAGCATAATCAATGGTGTCACACTGAAACTTTACTGCTATAAGTTGTCCATAAAACTTACTGTGGGTAGTGAAAAAACATGCGATGTTTTTTTGTGAAAAAACAACAGTTCGAAAAGATAATATTAGTCTAATTGTTCTTTATTTCGTCACCCGGTTCCTTCAACACTCAGAAGGACCAGTGCATCACAGAGAACGAAAAACCGTGCATCGATAAACCTGTGTATTAGGCACGTTCGTCCTGGAAACCGAGAACGCTTTGAACACTTTTTTGACTTGGTTGACTCATTTACTGTCGCCAGCCGTATCCTCATCAAACTAGTAAAAGGGTGATTCTAGCTCAATATGTCAGATCACTGCCACAAAGAACTTGTCGCAACGGATCGCCGCTGTAAGGAACGTCTTTCTGAGAGTTATAATGGCGCACGCGACGTTGAAATAAAATAGCGAAAAATATCAATCACTGTCAACCAGTTTGCTGCCCACCCTCAGTAAGTCCCAATTAGGATGAAGAGAGCAGTGGACTGCTTTTCAACACGTACCACATCCTCCTCGACAAGGCTAAATCCGTTGGGATTGCAAGCTTACCGTTAGTTGTTGCGGTTTTTCTCATTTGAAGTGGCCAGACTTTAGAGGATATCTTTTCCAAAAAGAACAAATAGGTGAGGGTTCTCTGAGGTATAACTAAACTAAACTCTCTAAGGTGAGAGTGATTCCTTCCTTTTCGTGGCTCCATTCTGGAACTTTGTCCAAGATGGATTTTTCATTTTGCCTTGGCATCTTTCACTACAATACTACGGGTACTCTGAGTGGCGAACTTTGTAAGTCCTAATATGTTTGAAACGAATGGGTAACCCAAAATGGCATTAAAAGTATTAAACATGTTGGCTGGAATTTAACACCAAAGTTGTATCGTTCAGGTGACGGGAGATGAACAACACATCAGGATTTGATCTTTTATTTCTTGGAACTTGTGTCTAAAAGGACTTAAGCTGTAAGTGCAACCCAAGCTTCTCAGTACTTAGCGACGAAAATCCAACTCTAACCCTCATGAAATTACTATTTTGAAGCAGTCGGCCAGAAAGGCAGTTAAGTCACTGTCAGTTGGGGTTCAGCTGATTGATATTGAGTAAGACAGTCCATGTCCAATCTGGGCGCATTCGTCCAACTATTCTGATTTCTAGCAACGTTATGCAGCTAAGACATGATGCAAATTATGATGCGGCCCCACCTATAAGGTTGATATGGAGACACTTCGACAGTTCTCTACCGGCGTGGTCTCGAATTTCCACCAACTCTTTGCGGATTGTGTGAAGTTAAACACTCAGGTGTATATTAACAGGAGATTCAACTGAACTATTCCCTCATGATACTACTCAACCAAAACACTGCACGAAGACAGCCTCAAGTTTCAGGCTGAGGACTCGTTGAGAAGGATCGTTTGGTTTTTATCAATTGTGCATTTTGACTTATGTGATCTTATTTTAAAGACCCCATTAACTTCTCTAGCCATAAAGAATTACAGTTGACTAAGGCGTGTCATTAAAAAATGCGCTTTTAGTGGCACTGATAGCGGGCTGTCGAACAGTTTGCATCAACTTTTCAAGTACTGCAATGTATCGGATTGTTTTTTTCGAGACCAACCGCAATCTGCTTCAAGAGTGAAATCAGAAATCATCAGGCACCTACCCAATGAGCCCCCAGAAAACTTTCAACAACCTTGTAAGTGGTGTGATCTAGAAAATATATTGCGATTTATGGAATACTGTACTAACTGAAATGTGTTGGACACCTGAAGATAAAGTCGCCACTTTTGTTCCGTCTAATACAAGTTCGCCCAACAAGGCAGTATCAGACTGCTCAGTTATGTGAACATCATAAGAGTGGCTCACCAATTTCGATATGTTGATTTTTTTAAACCGCATCAAAGATTCAGTATAACGCATCAAGTATAAAACTTACGCGTAACCAATTAGACTGTACTGGATTCCGGGCATCAACCAAATGACTTTTCATGCCCTGTAGGTTCTGTCGAACTAACCAGGCATAGCCCCCTCGGGAGCGCTAAATGTCAAGAGCGAGCAGGGTCAGAGACAGGTACTATGTGGAAATAAGCAAACAAAATAGAAATACACCCATTCGTCGAACTCCAAACAGGGGAAAGATAGCTTGGTTTGCTAGAAATATGTAATCCATCATTTTGCAAGACTTGATGGAACCTGTGTAAAAGGACGCCAATTTATGCCTCTACCGTAGAACTCTGCGTTCTATGAAGCAAGATGCAAACATTATGCTAGCAGCAAATGAGGACGCATAACAAGCAAAAGTAATAACGGAAGACAAACAACGATAAGTGGAGTTGAGATAGGTTAGGTTCAGGGCAAGCTCAAAATCCGTTTGATTTGTTCCTGCGCGTGTAAGGCATGGTCGGAAGGCAAGCAATTTGGGGCTCCACTACTTCCAACTGAATGTCCACCTCGGAGTAAAAGTAAGATTGTGTTTCGCAGTAGGAGTCGTTAATTTCCTCGTTGGTGCATCTCGTGTTGCCATTGTGGAAATCTTTCAACTAGGTACTTCAGTGTGCTCACCAGGCGTTCTTACAGTCTTGCCTATAGGCGAGTCAAATGATGCTCAATGTTCTCTAAATCCTACTAGTTTCGTCGCCACATGCCGCTTGGACCTGAATCACAGTATACATATGCTCTTCCATGGTTTTAAACTAACACTTAAACATACAGATGGTTGAGTGTTTGGGTATTTCAGGGGATATGGATGAGCACACTTTTGGACCTGAATCACAGTATACATATGCTCTTCCATGGTTTTAAACTAACACTTAAACATACAGATGGTTGAGTGTTTGGGTATTTCAGGGGATATGGATGAAGCAGCACACTTTTAGGACTATATGGTTCTTAAAGGTGATGCTAGTAAGCCTGAAATTTCACTGAAGACCCCTTTTCGTTCACAGACCTAGAGAGGAAACACCGATGTCATTAGTGACTAACAACGGTCTCGCGCCGAGAAAACTTGATAAAATAAAGTTTACCGATTTCCTCTATGGACAGATGAGAACATGGGAAATTTTCAACGAAAAGATAACATCGGAGGACGAACTGTAGCTCCACACAACCGAAAAGTGCCTTTCAACCGATCAAAGCTACAGAACGTCTGCAATCACTAAGTACTGGCCTATATATTGGCTTAGTGTCCGGGGAATTATTTCTTGGTCTACATCCGCTTTATACCACTTAAAGTAAACAACAGAGATGAATATACAGATAAGCACTGTTATTATGGATATCCATTCCTTCATTCGAACTGAAGACAGATCTTTTGGATAATTGCAGAATACTTTATATGCTCACACATTCTAGGTTTTCTAGTGTATTGCTATCGCTAACCACAGGACGACGAAATTCGGCGTCGTAATACAAATATACATTGTACCATTCAGCTGTAACAGCTATTCGGTGCCCGGTTGCCCGGCCACCCGAGGAAGCGCAGGCGTCGTAATACAAATATACATTGTACCATTCAGCTGTAACAGCTATTCGGTGCCCAGCTGCCACGCCACCCGAAGGAAGCGCAAGAGCTGAGGTAATCTCAGCTCGCCCAAACAATCAAGTTGCTAATGTTTTTTTTAACTTTGCCCTTCCGTGAGTAGGTTCACGCCTTAGCTACTGAGGTATATCGAGTTCCCAATACAAAGAAACTGAGGCCAAAGTATCTGCATATTTCAATAGTCAGATAGTGCTTTCGTATGCCAAACAACATAGTTCGATGAAGAGTACTTCAATAAAAGTTCTTATTATAGATTAACCATTGTATTTGTGGTCTCACGTAGAGATTTTGTGGTTTATCTTCACAAACATCCAAGCGAAACCTCGTAACTGCTATTCTGCAGGGACGGAAGGAAGGATCACTCTAAAGGGCTTTGATTGTGAAACTAATTCTGAAATGATCATCCAAATCGGTTGCTCGTGAAGGCTGACGACCTCTCATAGTAGTCAGTTCATATGCGGAGGGTGCAGAAACTGGCTGAGTTCCCACAGCACCCCAAGGTTTTTTGTGAGACCCTCAAGGCGAAATGCAGTCTGTATCCGCGCATCGACAGCTGTGATCTGCAACATATCCTGCAAGCTTATCCTATCGCCAGGTAGAGTACAAAGGTCACTTAACTGTGGCATTGTTGCTGCGCGTAACTTCCCCATAACCATAAGAAAGTGCACAAGTGAGATAAACCAAGGTAGTTAAATCAAGACAGAAACCATTGAAAAGTCAGGGTTAGCCTCAAATCGTGGACTTTTCGGTTAGTAGCTTCTCACCTTGAGCGCTAAGCTCAAGTACGACTCTCCTGATTCAGACATGTCTGTATTTGGTAACCGCATCAGACTACTGTGTTTGGCTCCTAAATATCATCGCTTGTGTCCATTCGCCATTCAATTCACTCACCATTCAGACGGAACATTAATGGAACATTAATAGTGACGTGACTGTCCAACTTATGTAATATCGTCTACAGGTCCCGTATTGGCCTAACAAAATAAAAAATCCGTATGAAGTGAAAAGATGTCTCCGTCGAAGAGAGTGTCCCGTTCGGTCAGCCCCATTTTGTTAAAGGCAGACAAGAACCCGTTTACTTGCGTACCTGTCCCGTTAAGTGGGCTAAGTAATTCAACAGTATATCACACATTACAGTCCCTGCCGTGTGCGGCGAGAGGCAATAAAGCGTATATAATCGAGAGCACTTCATTTCGTCTGCCGATTTCTTAGGATAGACAGTAGCTTACCATCCCTTGCGATATGATCCTAATCAATCTTGATTTCTAGTGCGGAACTTCCTAGAATAGTTTAGTCGTAGAGGTGCTGTTATAAAAATGTACTCTTACATAATCAGAAGAGTTTAGTAATTGATGTCAGTGGCTGATGTAATATCATGTGTGTGGGGATGTTGAAAATGACTAAACATGGGATTTGGTCTTATCTTCATCTTACCCATCGAAGAATTCTTCAAAGCGGTAACCCTGGTAAAATAAGTACCCACTTTCAAGCAGTCAGCTTTTCATACGAAACTGACTTACAGTGTGTGGATTCCTGAATTGCAGCGGAATTTGAAAAAGTGCTACAAGTTTTGTCCTCGTAAAAGGTATTTCGTGTTGCACAAAAGTACCACAAGAAGGAAACTCAGAAAGAGAAAAAAATGGAATTACCCTCACTAGTTCTTCCTCTCGCATTTCGTCCAGATACACAACTTCACCAGCATATGGTCCGAATGTTGTTCCTCTTTTAATTTCTCTATTTGTCCACACTCCAAAACCTGCACCAGGGATTCCTGATTTGTATATGTATATCCAATCTCGGGGAGCGGTTCGGGCTGTATGCAAATAGTAAGCTATGCCGCAGACACATTTTTCCTTCTGGAACTGAACATCGCGCCCCTTTGCTTCCTCGCAGACAGACAAAGGTTTGTTTTCTACCCATTCCACGGGGTGTATCAAACAGCCGTCAAGGATACTAGAGTCACAATCGTAGCAATCTAAATAAAAAATGGCAAGTTGAAAGATTCAGTTATCTTTGTTTCAAAATTCATATGTTACTGATATTGTGCGTAGGTAATAGATGTCATTCAAACGGCTTGATGAATAAGGCAAAGGCCATGGCTCCAGTGGATCATACCGCTGGTGTCAGCTTATGGCGGATTGACGGCTCTGTACCATCATCTCCCGAACACTCCACGTCAACAGCGACATACATTATATGCACGGGCCGTCAACAGATGGTGTGCAGCGTTGAAGGTTTCTGGTGTGCGTGTAGTTTTGACACGGCATTGGGTGTGGTTCACAAAGGACCTACTGAGACCTGGTAACACCAAACAAACGTGTACTTTCAACATTCCACGAGGCAAGACAGGTCCGGATTGTAGACTGAGCGATCCTCCCAAGCAAGATTTTTACGCAGTTGGAGGGAAATATCCACTGGTGAATCAACACGGTGACACCTTGGAGATAACTGAATCGTCAGTTGAATTTGCCCCAGGAAAATCGCCTATTCATCAGATAGGAGAGATAACTGAATCGTCAGTTGAATTTGCCTCAGGAAAATCGCCTACGCTCAAGTCATCGAAGCATTTTTCTTGACATAACATTGGGTCCCCTTGATTCAAATCACCAGACCAGTCACAGGACAGTTGCGAGACAGAAAAAACCTGCACTGAATTTGAGGGAATAACTAATAGGAAAATGGAATATACCGCTAAGTGTGGTCCATCAGGTTCAAGTCCATTTGATATTTATCTAGCAAATATAGATATCTAAGTTTTTGAGATTTCGGATGAACGTCTGTACAAGCGATACGCTGATAATACCTGGATTTTTACCACTGGTCAATCTTTCAGATATTTTTATAGTCTAAATAATATTTACTGTAGTTTGTCAGTAACCTGAGAGATTGAGTCAAGTGGCAGTTCGGTTTTCTTTGATATGCTGGCTGCCCGGCATCCGGATGTTGGTTTTCAATGTACTATACATAAAGGTCACGTAAAGTAGTCCGTATATCCATTTCAGTGACATTTCCTCAAGTTTTAAAGAAAGACTTGATCAGAATGCTGTCTCCCAGAGCTAAATTTGTATGTGTCGCCGACCAACCGCGTACTGATGCGGGAAAAGTACTCTATTAACGAGCAGTACTGAGGGGAGTCCACTACCCTGAGTAGTAAAAAAATCTCTGCCCAACCTGAGCACTACAGTTACTTGGGAGATACTGATGTACCATGTTTCAAATTCGACGATAACTCGAAAACATCAAGCAGGGGCCTTCGGCCGCCTGAGATCGCACTTGTAGAGCTATTCAATGGGACCTGGTGTCAAAACCAGAAAGAATATGTTTCGAACTAGGTCCGAGAGTCTGAGGGACCACCATGTCCCACATATCATTTGCAAGTCTACGTTCGGTTGCAATTTCACTAGTCTTGACGTAACTGGCCAAATTCTTATTCAAAAGTTCTGAGTGCATATTCCAAATCAGCTACTATATACCCAGTAACACTAGTCAGCACCACTGGTGGCCAGACATGACACGAGGAGATCAAACGCAAAGCACACCTCTGAAGAAGGCCACCTGACTGAACTTGTTCAGGCATTCATGACATTACTCAACTGAAACCGCCAGCTTTTTTGTTAGAAGCACAGCAACTCTATCTCAAATCGTCTGGCTACCTCGGGGGTGCATCAAAACCATCTTCTCCCTCAAAGCAATCTTTCATCGTTGTTACTATTTCCATTGTATCCGCAAGTGATGAGAGCAGTTTAAAATTTTAACACCTCTCATAACTCCGCTTCGCGTCAAGTGAAAAGTGAAATTTATTAAGGAATTCGTGGAATTACTCCGTAGAATTTGTTTACATTTGAGTGATAGTCAATGAGTATCCAGGAACGTTCCGGAAGAAGCGTTCGAGAAGACGGATATTCGCGGAATACACTCAGTTGCAAACTAATTTGGTTTTGGAAACAAGCTGATGTTTCCAGGCAACTGAATGAGAGGTTCAGCTGAGTTCCAGGTCAGTCGCTCGAAAAACCAAATTAGTTTGAAAATGAGTGTATTTCGCTAATTTCGTTTCAAGGAGAACATAGGGTTGACGGAAACTGGGGGACTGCGCCTACCTGATGAATCCCAAGAGGAGCAAAACCGGTCGTGGGATTTCGAAGAATTTTCAGCAACCTTATGAGTAGTGCAGTACAAAGACGGATATTCAGTTTTTATAAACTACATATGAAATTTTTGCCTTCCTGTCCAATAGTCTGCAACTGTTTTCGGTGTTTTCCAATAAATAACTCCGCAGCGAAAGCCTTCTTCTCGGACTGGAATTCCTTTGTACGCAGCCACACATATTTCTGATGCCCCACTTCCTACTGAAATTAGCGGTAGTAGTAGTGGTAATATTGGCGACAAACTTTGGAATCCAGGCTTCCTTAATTCAATATTTGAATCTGAACCCTGCCTTCGCACAAAGGTGGCACAGTACAGCCATGTCCCTTCTCACAAGATAACCTCCTCCAAATCGTCAACTCTGTCGGAGAACAGCAGCGTTCCATGAAACCCATTTTTTGCTGTAAATATTCTCTGAACTAAAACCACCTTCACCACAGAGGATACTACGAGATCCCTTTTCCCGCAATACCCTATACATATTTTCTACAGCTGATTTGCATAAATATTTTGGTACAAATGGAGAGAGTTGTGTTTACAAAACAGGCACATTCATGAATTACTAGAAGCGATGTTTCCAGTAAAATAGTGTGCACCCAGTTACATTAAGCCGTCGACTAAGGGTCTAAAACTTCCGCTAACGTGGCCATTTTTCCCGGGCCAGGTGATGATAATTTAATTATTTAAAAAGCTCTCCTTGATGTGGATAAGAATTCCCTGTAGATTCCGGCCCCATTACTCCTTGGACCACCTTCGATTCAAGGAATGGAGAGATAACCAGTGCTAGGCACGATGTCCATCTATTTGTGATGATATTGAATGTTTCAACTTCAAATGCAACTCTACCTGTTCATCTGTGGTATTCATTAATCAGCTTCATAGATGAACGCAACACTGGCAGATGTATGTTGCACTAAGAAATGAAGTGTATCGTGGGTTGTGAGGAGGGAAGGTAATTTAATCAGAAGTAGTAGACAGTCATCATCATTATCATTGACAACAATACACCAGTCAAGCACACTTAGCCTAACTGCTAAGTCTGCAGCTTGCTAGGTCTGCAGGGCGTTTATAATGATCAGATAGAAATTAATCCTTTAAGTCTAAATCTGAATGCGTTAACTCTAAAAGCCAGATGTGGGCAGTCCTATGAGGCACATTTTGAGGTTGTCAAAAAGGAGGGAGGCTACTGAAGAAAGAGTTGAAATTTCGGAAAATAATAAATCATCTAGGGTTTTTGTCTAAGCTTATTATCGAGAAATGAAGGTTTGGACCACAAATGAAAACAGTATGACTCAATCGCGTCACAGCTGTTGAAAAAACTCTCATATTTCTTGCGGCTTTTGGTGGAGAAACCCTCGATACAACCATGGACACTACGCTTGGAAGCGACCGCCTTGGTAGCGACAGGCTAAACTTAGTCTGTATTCAAATCAGAATAATTAAGGCCGGCTTTCATCAACTGCAGTCAGCAGAAGGAGGAATCAAAAATTCGTCACTTTTATTTGGAAGTTTTGGGTGTGGTTGAGAACTGAAATTTAGCTTAACTTAGTCCAATCACAAGTGTTAAGTGTTCCGACAACTGCACAACTTCAATTGCAATTGCGAAAGGCTGTATATATTGGCGCAGTCGCTTTTCATTTGCAGTAGTTTCCAATTCAAAACGAATTTACCACAGCAATAAACTAGCTCGTATGTAAAAATCGCTCCATCTTTAGTCACTATGCTGAAATTAAGACACAATTGGTGCTTACAAAAAGCATCATAAATGAGATATTCAGTTAGGTTCCAGTTGAGTAGCCCGTGAAAACCGAATTGGTGTGCAAGTGTCTCACCAATGTTGTCTTATCCGGAAGCATTCCTCAGACGCGGGAATGTCACCTGTTCTGTCTCATTCGAAATAACAAACAACGATAAACTAGAGTCATCAGGTATAGTGACTACGCTTTGCCCGCTTTTTTATCAATCAAGAGTAATTTTCTCAATTCTACCACAGAGCGATTTAGAAACAATGCAGTAAGTGTAAATAAACAGATAAAACCTAGCGATTTCGACAAGCTTTCTATAAATCTCAATCCAGTTGACAGGAGAATCCGTCACGCTTATCTGAACCAACCACGGGCACAAATCGAATGCATCTACAGGAGCCTAATGTTTGAACAGTTCAATCAAAGTCCACCTCAAGGAAAAGTGGTAACTTTTGGAAACCGTTGGCCAAAATTTTGATACGAAACTTTTAACAAAGCATGTATGATGTCGACAGCCAATGGCAGTTCCAAATTATCAGGCTTGTAGACGAACCGTTACATTCCATTATCAACGGTGTAAATTCCTTGTTCCTAGTTCAAGTTTTGAAGTTCCAGTGACTGTTTCCATTTGTTTGCTAATCGAGTGAGACAATTGTGGCATTTGAAATAGCAGTCTTGTTGGAATTCCACTGGTGTTTTTTATTCAGGTTCCTAAAAGTAGACATTGTCCAGAGGAGCCGATAACACCTGATACCATACCCCAAAAAGGGTGTGGAAACGATCGGAACCTGTTAAAAATACAAGACTTCAATAGTGAACTCAACCTAAATGCTGTCGGCGGTATTAGTAGTACATATCAAATCAGTGAACTTACACAAAAACCTGTCATCCTCTGGAATTGGTGTAGTAACCGAATAATTCGGTCTCGGCCTTTCACGAATAGGATACCTCCTGGCCGCCTCAGAAGTTGCCAGTTCCATAACTAAGCCCCTGTTTGCCGTCTGTTTAGTCACCGAAGGATCAAAACTGGACATTTTCTTCTTATTCATTGGTTCACATTCTTGAGAAGTGTCCTTTTTCTTTTTTGAACCCAGAAGTAAATTTGGAGTCCATTCCTCTCCACTACTTGGCCAGTCACTCTCATCGTCTGAAAACTCTATTGACTTGGCATTTGGCTTTTTCACCTACCCAGATCACATAAGTTATGTTTTAAAAAATCATACCTTCTTTAACAGAATTTGCACAGGCTGTTTTGGCTCCTGTTTCTTCGGTGGTCTTTTACGGGGCCCCAGGGAATATCTTGGTTTAACTGGCTTCACTACTCTATCCTGGCATCAAGAAAATGATGATACGATTAGACAACATGGGTGCGAGCAATGAACGGACAGCATTACATTTCCAAAACCTGTGTTCACTGCATAATCAACTTCGATTTTATCAGTGGTGGCCAAAGTTCACCGGTACAATATGTTATTTTTTCACTCAAAATCAGTAGCGCCTTTTAAGCGCTTCAAGTGAAAATTGTTAGTAGGAGAGAGCACGTCTCGTGGACTGCATCACTGCATGATAGTAGCCAACTATTCTGCCCAGGGACAGGTACGTCACACTGACAAGCGGCTTGTGGTGGTCAAATGAAAGTGCTCAAAGTCCTACGCGGAAGTTGTCCGATTCGAAACAAACCTAGAGATTACTTGGAACACACCACTGATGGACATGAAAGTAGATGAGAAAACATTTGGCTCCTCTCGGCCTTTCATTACAGCAAGACTCTAACTGCAGGATAAAACACTCACTTGAAAATCACCATCATCGTTATCATAGGCAGTTACAACCAAATTTTTGCTGGCACGTTTTCCTCGTCTGAATTGGCCACATAATGTTGCGCAAGAAATAGCTGTCAAGTCGCAATTCATAAAATTTGCACAGCAAACAGTAGCCTTGGAACTGCCTCAAATTTAATTAAGTAAATGACAGCTGATACACAATATTTAAAAACACATTGACCTAGAATAGGTGACCGTGATTCTAAGAAATGGAACGATCGACATGTGGCCCTTAACCACCACACTGTCACTCGTAAGTTTCTAGTAACAATATATATCGGTTGCGAATCGTAATTTTTTTAAATTCTGAAGTTCGATAGAGTAATTTTTTTATCTTTCAACGAAAGTGGCGACAAAAGCCACACATTTGTTTTTTGGTAGTTTATTGGCATCATGGTAAGAGTCCAGCCTTATTGTTCAGTGTTCACGTAGCTACCATGCAAACAATTCATCACCTATACGACTGAACCACGCTCTTCAACATGTCTAACCAACAACCCGTTCCGGACAGCCACCAAGGTGACTGTGTTTCATGGCAGTGACCCCCATGCTTTGCTGAGAAGTAATCATCTGGGCGCCTTTTGACCTCTCTCATTCAGTATCTGGCTCGATCTAAACTAGTAGTGGGTGTACACAGATGCCAGTCAGCTAAATTACATCAAGCATTTCATTTTGAGAAGCAAGGTCTCATTTTAGCAGGCCACAAGGACTTACAACTGCTCAAGTAAGTGTACTTCTGAATGCATGAACAACCCGAGATTTTAGACGGAACCTGTTTGATTTTGAAGCACACTGCGGGCGCAGACTGCGTACGAAGTGACGCGAAGCCGTCATCGCATTTTACTTAACGTGACTCTAGATTCACTTTAGGTTTGGCGTGATCGAGTTTTGGTTCAACACTTTCCGCATCTGTTTCCTCGAAAGCTGGCGGCTAAGATTTTACGTCAGAATTGCGCAATTTGGATCATTGGGAGGGTAGGGAAAAATAATATCTTTCGCAGTGTTTCGGGTCTGTTTCGACCCTATACATAGAAACTCATAAATTCCGCATCAAAATAAACCATTCTAGTGCAAAAGTTTGTGTTTTATGAGAAGTGTTGTACAAGATCCTTCCATAAATGAGCCTAGCTGGTGGGAAATGCTTCCACCGTACCCTCCTATTTAAAGGAGTAAAGGCGCAACATTTCCCCTTTTGGTACATAAATCTCGAGATGCGAAATCTTCGACATTGCCGTTTTAATACAACTTCAGGAAGTCAAGGAGATGCGATCACCCAAAAAGCAGTGAGAGCAATAACCACTTTTGGCATTCTCAGCATCTGTAAGAAAGTGTTTTTGCTAGACTGACCATATCCAGTGACAATATATGTTTGTTAGCTTAATTGTTGAAAACGTTTGCGTCGGAACAAAGTTCATTTAAAACCCTAGTGTTGAACATGTACGATTCTAGCGTTTTAAAGCAAGTCACAAAAATGGGACAGCACGTGAACCACAAATCAACATGTAATACAACAATGTGCTACCGTAATCTGCTAAATGGTAGTGGTATTATATACGATACTTGCCCTATAATGATGTCCTGTAAGAAAAGAGAGAATTCTTTAGTGCCAAATCTACTTCTATTATGGTGAATAAGATCCAACACAAAAATTGGTGCTACAAGGGAGGCAACAACCTGACTACCCTAGTTGTATAATATATTTTGAGCCTGCCACAAAGAGACTGGACTTTACCATGTTGTGGCGGTTTGTGTCCTCGACGATCCATTGAGCTATACTGCGGGATGTCCGCGGGACAGACTCATACCAGGCTGGTCAATAGCTAGAGGTCTGACGAACACAGCCTCCTGGTCCTTCAGGTCAGGGGTTGGAACATGTGTGGCGATGTGTTCCGTAAAAATGATAATGTAGTTGAATTTTCAGTCCAACACCACTGCCTTGCGGTCAGGCTTTTGAGCCAAAGTTTTTCGTTGGGGACCCTGACCATCTTTCTGTCTAGGCGTGGGCACCCTTTCAGTATCCCAGCCCACTTACAACCATGAACTGCAGATATGCAAATTAACAGGCGCCACATTGTCCGTAGTGTGGTGTCTTCGACCGGGTCGCCTTTCTCGCTGCATACACCACTGTGGGTAACGAAAACAAGCTACTCCCCTCTTTTCTTTCACATAATTGTTCTTCTCCCTTTCCCACCCCATTAGTGACTCTATACTTGTGTGCCCGGTAATTATGACTGATGACTCAGTTCGCCCTGCACCGGTTTGGCAAGCAACATCTGCACGTTATCCGGCGCCGACATCATCAGACATCGCAAAATCACTCTCCAAGCCCCGGCGCCCTGTATATCTGGCCACTTTCAATGTCAACATTCTGAAGCAAGTAGGACAACAAGCTGTTCTTCCCCCCACACTAGACTTGCTTGGCATTGATGTGCATCGGAAACAGGAATTCAAGCATAGTAGCTGAACTAACCGCCCTATCACTCTCCACTTGCTTCTGGCTATACACCTCTGACAGCCCAGAGGTTGCTGCAACAGGATGTGCAGGGGTTGAAATCGTCTTAAGTCACCGAGCGGACTTATTCTTGCTTGACTGGATACCCGTTGATAGTCGCATTTTTGCGGTTTGTCTGGCAACGTCTGTAAAGGAGTTTCACATGAGGAGAGTTTATCAATGTTTGTTTGTTGTGTCTGCTTACCCCCCAACTGACTGCAAATTTAACACCACTGAAGACACGTTTTATGACACCTCGCCCTGATATGGCGAGGTAGAAGCTCAGATATCGTGGAAATTACCAGATATCCTAATGCACAAGTGGGTGGGCTTAGCGAATCTGAGACTCAATTAGGTGGCCGACATGTACTGGACTCCGTAAACACGGACAATGGTAAACGACTGCTTCAGCTGTGTGCTGGCCACAAGCTGTTTGTATACAGTACTAATTTCCAAACTGGTTATATGGTGCCCCCCAACGGCGTGCGGCCACGAACTCAAAACGATCATATTGTCACCAGTTACCGATGGTTGGGATCAATAACGGACTGCCGCTCGTTTAGGAACACATTTGTGGATTTCAACCATGCGCTCACCCGGAGTCGCGTCTCCCTTCTTTTTCCAGGGCCACGTAAGGTGCGCAAAAATCGCTTGGAAAATGATAGACCGGCAGATTCGAATGTAGAAAAAACTTGTCAGAATCGTCTTCTAGAGTCTCTTTTGAATGCTTCACCATCAGAGGTGAATTCATTTTTGGACGAGACTGCCACTTCTTTGCACAGTGCTTGAAGTTCCTCTTGTGGTAGGGCGCTATGAGACTCACTTAAGCACCGAATATCAACCGAACAGCAGCAGTGCTTAAGTCTAGGAGAAATATCCTAGTCGGTATCCAACCAGGCGTGAAGTCTGGCAGAGAGGGAAACCGGTGATGCCCGAGATCGCCCGTGAGCGAAACCATCAAGGATAAGAAGTGAGTGACCATCCTGAATAAAGAAGAGGGCTTCAACCGGTGGGCCAAATACTTCAACCAACAGCTATCGTGGCCACACGCTACCGTACATCTTGAGCTCATGGTTGATGTAGAACCCTGGACGATTAACTACCTACGGCCTCAAAGGTTTATGACTTCATAATTTCTCTTCTGGTCCGGATGACCACCTATCCGCATTGTTTAGAGAAGGGGGTTAATTCCTCAGTCAGAGATTTCATGATCTGCCTGCCTGCGTTTGTAAAAGGGTGACAGTTCCATACAACCGAGGAAATCTAGGACAGTGTTCAATTTCCAAAAAAACGGGGCTGGTAGTGGGTATGGTGGCCACAGAAGCATCAGCTTCACCCCAGTTGTAACGAGAGTGTTGGCGTCACTAGTACTTCGTCGTCTTATGGTATCATTTAAAATAGTGACTCGGGAGCACAGAGCAGGGTTCCGGTCTGTTTGGGGTTGCGTTGACCAAATCTTTACACTCCGACGGGTGCCAGAGGAATGTCATACGCACAAGCCACCCACGATTTCAGTATTCCTGAATTTCCAAGGCGAATTAAACTCGGTTGATCGGATTGTTTTTCTTGACACATTTGCCTATCAATGAGTGCCACGAACTTTTGTGAACATTATACTTTCTTTGTGTACTCAAAATTACTGGTATAGGAACAGCTCTCCAAAGGCTTTCGTACGCAAAGTGGTGTCCTTTAGGGGTACCAACTCTTTAGATTCTTATTCAATTTTGTGATCGACGAGATAATGAGTAGAACGTTGGGACATCAGCGGAACTGAGATATCCCCAGCTGTTCGACAATTGCTGTTTCAGTGTCAGGTTTGTGTCGAGGAATCCA